ACACACTTTTAAATCACTTTGAAGATTGCCTGATTTATATCTACTGATTACTCTGTTCTGGAATTTTATCAAGCTACAAAAATATTTCATACAGACCCCGATTCTGGTGTCGAACAAATAGCAAAAACTTCGTCATGATAACGGTGAAGCACTTTCATCAGGAAAATCGAGGTAGTGGCATACTTCTAGGAAGTAGGTTTTGTGATAATAACAAAGGCGGAAAATATAAAAAAGAGGGGTGGAAAGAAAAAAATGATCAAACGAACAGAGAAGAATAAAGAGAGTGTAAAGACTAGCTAAATTAAACTGTGGGATATAAAGACTATAAAAATATCAACAGGAGAAACGGAACAAAATAAATTTGGGACAGATAGACGAATATAAGATGAGGCGTATATAAGTGGTGACAAACGTACTGAAAATAAAGGTGGCGCTTAATGGCAAGCATTTGCACTTGTTGATATTTATTTTCTCTTTAATTTTTTCTATTTAGAACAACCCTTTTAACTAGTTCGCTGTCTACTAGATGCTTGCCTGGCAACTAATAAACAGCTAGGTACAGAAGACCGCTAAGTGAATCCGAAAGAAATTAGCCTTTAAAAGCCTTCCCTTATAAGAATTTTCAGGTAGGGTTCAGTTGAGTGTAGTCACGGCGTTAAATATTTGAAAGTCAACAGAAGGTTGGTTAGCGAAACAAATTAAATTGAAATAAGATGCAATCGAAACGACACTAAACGAAAGTACAGAACTAACTCATGGGCAGTGGAGAAACGTTCGGTTATTTTAATACATGAGCAACATAAGGGTGTTTATAGATTGATATAAGAAAAATGAACGCTAATTAAAGAACAAAAAGGCAACGACAAACTTCGGAATAACAAAGTCGAATTCTCATTTCCCAAGTCAGTTATGGCGAATCTGTGATAAAAGTAACGTTTACTTCAGAAAAATATTACAAGCTGAATACAACGTCTTGCTTTGTAATATTTTTGACTAAGGCAACACTGTCCTTTCTCTAGCACCTGAAATTCTGTGGTTTGGTAAGCACAATGTCTCGTTCAATGAGTTTTTCTATGAGACCATTTAAACAGACAGTGGAGGGTAAATAATCTTGTGTTTAGACAGTGTCCACGGTAAAAAAACATTCGGCTTATTTGTAAACGGCTAAAACACGAAATCGACGAAATATTCATGTAATTCAGCAAGATAAAATAAATATACAGCGCATCAGTTTGGGCAAAGAATATTGAAGAATACAAGTAGCATATATCTGAAGCAGGCAACTGGCCAAAATAAACGTGAGGAAAAGTAAACTAGCTACCACGAAAGTAGTTTGTCAGCTTAAAACGGCCACTTGTCTACTTAATCAAACAAATCAGAGCTCAAAACGCAGCAATTTTTATAACGTTTTGTTGATTGACATACCTCGAAATGAACGTTTTTCTCACGTACTGTCTTGTAGACGACTGGGTCGTCAAGAATATGGTACCCGTGTCCGATACGCTCGGCATGCATTTCTTCCAAGGCCTCCGTCACAGCAGCAGCAACGCCATTCTCACCTGCGTGGGCGACCCTATGGATGCCACATTTAAATGCCTCTTCAAATGCAATTTTTATCTCTTTGGCTGTGTTCTTTCCATCACAGGGCTTATCGTCACCTAAGAATGTAAAGATTGCGACAATGATATACATAATATGAACGGTATTTGCATAAATCTCAGCTTGACGCACAATTTTCGCCATGTTTAACAAATTGCCAAAGATACGTTAACAAACAGGTTGAATTAAGATTATAAAAATCAAACTAATAGAATACCTGCGACATCGACGGCGCAAACACCAAGAGGCTGGTAACTCTTGGCAAGTTGAACGACCTCGGATGACCATTCAGGCTTATGTCGCATCATGCATAGGATGCTCTGTGCCTGTATGTCAAACTTTTTCTTTCCTATTTCTACGGCATTCAATACGGTCTTAACAGTTTCCTCAGGAGTAAGACAGGGACCAGCGAGCAATTGAGGTGAAAAGCGAAGTTCCACGTAACATAGTCCACCCCGGTTGACGCAGTCTTCCAAGAAGTCGAGGGTAAGCTGCGAGATGGCCTCCTGATTAAAAATAATTATCAAAATTAATAGAACATAAAACTTTCCGTAGTGTTGGATTGGAAACAGATACTCCCTAGTTATGACGCATGATGTCCTCGACTTATTTTTCACTGGAAGCTAACGTTTGAAGTGTGAGGAACGCATTTTTGCTAACTTTATTATCAGTAGTATAGCACATACACATCTAGCATGCGATCGTCGCAATTCCCACCAACCTACCTCCGCACAACGAGGTTTATCATGTTCTTTTCGCACCGTATTGTGACACTTAAGTTTCGAGTGTCCAAGACAATGAACGTGCTCATAACCTATCTATAACAAAGCAAATTTCAATTTAGCCATTGGAAGAAAAATCCGACGTTCGGTTGCTTGACCCGAGTTCTTGAACTTAAATAGAACACTTGCAGAATAATTAAGTGGATATGAAAAGCAGATACCTTAATTGTACAATGCAAAAAATCGGCATACGCTATCAATTATTGATAATTAACTTCAGAGTGTTCAATACGGAGCGAAAATGCAAAAAAACACATAATTATTGCAGTGACAGGCAAACTCGCACCCGCAGGTACAGCGTTTGAAGTCGGTATGGCAAGAACACATTTTCCAGAATACATACTAAAATTGTCTAAATGCTGTGCAAGCATGCTGCGGAAAGGTTTTTGGGGTGTATACTTCCCATATATGTGGATGAAAAGTGTTTACGAAATTTTTAAGATAATGATGGGACTGAAACATTTTTTCCCGAAAAAAAATTTGAACGAGACAAAGATCACGAGATTAGCAGAATTTATTGACGTCATAAAATTTCGTAACCACTTATTCGGGCGCACGCACAGGCAATTGGTAACGCGGTCAGCTGAACGTATGCCGAAGTGGTTGCTCAGAGCGGAACATAAAGTACCTAAGAGTTCAATCACAAGGCACCTAATAAACAATGGCCATACAGTCAACCAAAAGACTGCATTTAAGCTCGTACTTCGAGCGACGACCGGGCGTCTCCTACAATTTGTGGAGACCGCTGCAATATGGAGAAGAAAACCAGAACTCTGTAAGCAGCTGGATCATGTGATCAATCTCGCATTGCCGTGGTAATGATCGATAAACTTATTCCCGCTCACGCCTCCTCGTCCCCCTTAGGACTGGCTGCTACCCTGGCCCCTGCCCAACTCCCCGCTCCCTTTAAGCACGTCCTACAGGCTTTAATTAACATGAACTGCCATGCTGTGACAACTACCTCCCCCTTCATCTACACCCTCACCATGCGCCCACATCTATGACTAATTGTTTCTATTCTTTTTACCTATCATGTTTCAGCCTTCGAGGCTAACACTTAACTCTAATTTCTAGGCAACGACCGTCTGCG